ACGGAAATGGCTTTCAAGAAAACTGATGATGTTGACGAAGAGCTGGAACAGGTAGAGATTCCTGTTGAGGTGGAGCATGTTGATGCTGAAATGCGTATCCCAGATGAAGTCGAAGAAGAAACAGAAGATTCTGATGATGTTGAGGAAACTGTTGATGACTACCTATTGTCAAGAGATAGGCAACGAAGAGTCATAAAACCACCTCAGAGACTTGGATATGCAGATCTTATAGCTTATGCCTTAATCTCTGCAAGTGAAGTTCTAGACGAAGAACCTAGAGATTATAAGGAAGTTATGAGGAGTCGAATGAAGACTGAATGGCTAAAGGCCATGCATGATGAGATGAAATCTCTTCATGATAATCACACTTGGGAACTAATCAAGAAACCTGTTGGGGCAAGGTTAGTCAGCTGTAAGTGGATTTTCAAAGTTAAGGAAGGAATTGAAGGAGTAATGTCGAAGAGGTACAAGGCAAGATTAGTCGCAAGGGGTTTCACTCAGAAAGAAGGTGTCGACTTCAATGATGTATTTTCCCCTGTTGTGAAGCACAGATCCATTCGAATGTTGCTTGCCATGGTGGCTCAGTTCGACCTTGAACTGGAACAAATGGATGTGAAGACTGCGTTCTTGTATGGTGACTTAGACGAAACAATCCTGATGAGGCAACCTGAAGGGTATGTCGAAAAGGGGAAAGAAGATTATGTGTGCAAACTGAAGAAATCTTTATATGGACTTAAACAATCTCCTCGACAGTGGAATAAGAGATTCGACAAGTTCATGGAACACATAGGTTTCATTCGAAGTCAGTTCGACCACTGTGTTTACTCCAGATTTCGACCTGAAAATTCATTTGTTATTTTGTTGCTTTATGTTGATGATATTCTGATAGCAAGCAACAATGTCGAAGATGTAATGAGGGTGAAGGCTGAACTCAATAAGGAGTTCGACATGAAGGATCTGGGAGCTGCATCTAGGATTCTTGGAATTGACATTCGAAGAGATAGAAAGCAGTCGAAATTATGCTTATCTCAAGAGGCATACCTACGAAAGATTCTTGACAAGTTTGGTATGTCGAATTCGAAGCCTGTTGTGACTCCAACAAACCCTCAATTCAAGCTGAGTATTGATCAATGTCCCAGTACTGATGTCGAAAGAACCTATATGAATAGCATCCCATATGCTAATATAGTTGGTTCTTTGATGTATGCTATGGTCTGTACTAGACCCGATATAGCATATGCAGTAAGTCTTGTAAGCAGGTACATGGCGAATCCTGGAAAGGCTCACTGGCAAGCGTTAAAGTGGATTTTAAGGTACATAAATGGGTCTCTGAACAGAGTCTTAATTTATGGTGGAGCCTTGGGTGAAGATAGTAAAGCAGCAGTCGAAGGCTATGTTGACTCCGATTATGCAGGTTGTATGGATTCCAGAAAATCTATTTCTGGATATGTTTTCACTATGTTTGGTACAGCAATTAGTTGGA